ATATAAACAGGGAGATGTTATGGCTACTTTAGAGAGTAGATGGATGACAGGAGCACAAACATATACAATAGATATTTTTTGCAAAGGACATATAGGTTTTCTAACAAATACTCAAACATATTTCTAGTTTTAACTTGATTTGAAGACTTGATAGGCAGTTGCAACGCGTACAATTAGAGTGAATATTGCACCGTATCAGACGTCTTTTTCATAGACTGTATATAATAACAAATATATAAAGAGGGGTCTAAAAATACAGTATATGGTGTACTATATGTGCATTTCTTTTGCATATGTTAAGCCACTTATTGTACATAAGATGCACCTAAATGCAAAATCATGATTAATGCATTTGCTTTTCGTTGAGCAGCTCTACTGATCATGCACTCTATAATGAAACGGTATTCCAGAGTTTAGTCTATAGAGCGTATCACACTATGGGGGGGGGCGGGGGGAGATTAAATGCAAACAAAACTGAAAATGCTGGTGACTCTGTACAGTATGTTGCTGTGCTGACATGCGGAGAATAACAGTCTGTGAACTGTATCATATAAAAGGCTGCTGCTGTTCAGAGGAAAGGCAGAAGCTGAGTTCACTTCACAGGGTGTTGAATATTCGATCTACGTTATGTTAAAAAAATGCATTTCAGTCAAGTTGACCTTTAACATGTTTAAAGCCTCCATACAGTACCATGAGCGTATGCATCAACAGCTTTAAATTGTATAGAAAGTGTTATAATGTACAAAGATAAATATATATGTAAATTGGAGATGCATAAATAAACTTTGTACAAACAAATATCAGCAGTGCCTTGACTTTTTCATATTATTATATGTATATTTTTATATGTAATAACAATTCATTCCGATAAATACATGTATGTTTAAAGATTTAATTTGTAGTGTTTTCATCTAATTCACTCCATATACCATCTACCAGAGCGATTTCAAAGCAACTGCTCAAAACAGCGGATTTGCTTAGTCAAACACACACAAAACAAAAAATAGTTCTGTGATAAAGAGCTGACGGCTGCGCTCATTGTTCTGAATCACAATGACACAGGTCATCCGTGGGTTATAAAGGCAGCACACATGTGCCGCTTCAGTGTGACGAAGGTGAGCCGACACAATGGGCAAGGTAAATCTCTGCTGTGTGCACGGATTATTCATCCCAAATCGGTGACCTAAGAGTAATCTTTCAAGTGGTATAGTATGCACACTTCTCTTAATTTGAGGCATCTACATTTCAGATTATATTCTACGAGGACAGGAATTTCAAGGGTCGCTCCTACGAGTGCGGCAGCGAATGCTCGGACCTGCATTCCCACTTCAGCCGCTGCAACTCCATCAGAGTGGACAGCGGTGATTGGATGGTTTTTGAAAGACCCGGATATATGGGGTACCAGTACTTCTTAAAGAAGGGCGAGTACCCCGACTACCAGCAATGGATGGGGTTCAACGACTGTGTGCGATCCTGCCGTTTGATCTCTACGGTATATTATTATAATTATTTGTATTGTACAATGTATTTTTATGCTGCTGCAACGCAAACATTTCCCAACTTGGGATCAACAAAGTACTTCTTATCTTATCACTTTCACTTCACAATAAGTCTTATCTAGAGGGTAATACAGTCTTTTCCTGCAGTCCCAAAGCTCTCACAGGATAATGATATACGAGCGGCCAGAGTTAGGAGGAGATACGATGGAGCTGACTGACGACTGCCCCTCGCTGAACGAACTATTCAACCGCAACGACGTCTACTCCTGCAACGTGAGGGACGGTTACTGGATCTTCTACGAACAACCCAACTACAGGGGACGCCAATACCTGATGAACCCCGGGGAATACAGGAGGTTTAATGAGTGGGGAAGCACCACGTCTCGGGTGGGATCCATCAGACGTATCGCTGTGTGATGTCCAGAAACTGTTTATGTGAAGTACTGTCAATAAATCTATACAATAACCAATGTTCTGTCAACTGGTGCTTTTGTTTTCTTTGGGCTGTTTGAGTTGAGAGTGGTGAGGGGATTTCAAATGTTGCTTAGGTGGCAAGTTGGGCGTCTTTGATGCACATGTTTTGGAGTGGACAAAGCAAATATAAGCTAGCTATAAGCTACTTAAAGGAAAGAGACAAGAATACAAGCTAAAATACGTTTTCATGTCTATATACAGAGACACACACACAGTTTGAGCCCAGCATGTTTATTGAGAAAAAAGGTAAAAGGTTTGAAAAGACTTTTAATTAAAGTCGGTGATTCGCCTGAGAGAGCCGATCCTTGAACTGGCGCCTCCCCAGTCCAAGGATCGACGGTATTCTCCAGGTCTCAGGTAGTAGGACCGGCCCTTGTAGTTCGGCTGGTCGTACAGCAGCCAATGGCCGTCCACCACGTTGCACGAGTTAATGTCAGACATACGCAGGCGGTCCTGGACGCTGGGGCAATCATCGCTCACCTCATGCATTTGGCCGCTCATGTCTGGACGCTCATACAATCTTATTTTGTAGGAACCACGGTGCTGCAGGAACAAGAATATGTATGAGTCAGACAAGTTTTTCTTTCATACTAATGTGCTGCTGCAGAAAGAGGGATATGTATTAGTCTGATACATTGTTTTTGCCGTACTTAATGTGCTTTATAGTAGTACTTTTTGGTACATAAATAAGTACCAACTTTCTAATACTAATTGCAGGTAACACAGTAACAACAACAAGGGTGTGTGAAAGCAGTTTAAAGCAAAAAGTCCCTCCTCAACTAACAATTTTTTTAGGCTGAATAAAAGGTACCAGTATGCGCTAAATCCAAGCATGTTTTAGCTTAAAGAAATATTGAGTTGTTTGGGATTGACTTGCCTAACATCTTCCAGGAAAACATACCCTTAGCTACTCTTTAATTGTCCTTAAGTTGTACATTGTTTGTGCTAAGCCGTAACATAAAGGTAGCAGTAAGATTAAATTATGTCTCATTGCCTTTATTTATTCAGTTCTCCCCTTTAATTGACCCGATACCTCTTTGATATCGTCTGAGGCTTACCATGGGAATCATGCGGCAGGAGCGGATGCAGTCATTGATGCCAATCAAGCGCTGGTTGTCGGAGTACTCCCCCCTGCGGAGGAAGGACTGGTGGCCCAGGTATTGAGGTCTCTCGTACACCATAAAACAGCCGCTCTCCACCCTGACGGAGTTGCAGCGGTTGAAGTAAGGGTGCAGGTCGGCACAGTCGCTCATGCACTCATGGTGCCGACCCTGGAAATTCCTGTCCTCGTAGAAAATGATCTGCAAACGTTCGTCGGAAAAAAACGGATTAATTATGGACGCTCGATGTTAAAAAATATTTTGAAGATTACTATATTTACAGTAAGAACACATAACAAACTCACCTTTCCCATTGTTTTGTCACTGGGGGCCAGACTGGCGCTCAATAGACGCTCTCCGCGCCGCTGTCCTTTTATATAAAGTGGCAGTTTGATGGCACAGCATAAAGTATTGTCATCCAAATAGGTTTTATAACGCACATTGGGTTATGTATAGTGACGCATTGTTGTTCAGTTTTCACATGTTCATCAAAACACCGCAGTGACCCCGGGGCGACCGCGCACAGTCTCAGCAAAACAACAACCGTTATTTGTGTCCCCTTCAGTCAAAACAAGTTTGTAATGTTATATGTCGGACACAGAACGAGCCTTTTTGGGTCCTTAAGCTCAGCCCAAAACATCATGTACGAGTTTAATCAATGTACACAAAAATAAAGGAAGAGCTGTAGGTTTCTAATATAGTTTTTCCAAATAGTTACCCCACAAAACCAATACAATTAATGACAGTTTCTTCATCTAGAGCAGGGATGGGCAAATGGCGGCCCGCATGCGGACCCCACCTCCTCTTTTTGCGGCCCTCAGATTAATTTATAAACAACGTAAGTAATAAAAAAATAAATATATATATATATATTTTTTTACTTGTAGTACTGATAACGTCCACTAGACTCCTAGTTACGTCGCGAGCTGCGTACATGATTTCAAATACCGCAAAATGATCTGTGACGCATTTGTTTGTATCTCACAAGAAACACCGGCTGTTGTTATGCCTGCTGTGACGTTAGGTTGCCTCTTGTAATTATGCCTTTACAAGTTTAAAAGTTGTTTTTATCATCTGAATTTGGCGAAACAAGTTTAATATTCTTAAAACCAAGAATTTGTTTTATTTGAAATCAGATGAAAACAAACTGTCACGGACCCTGCTGTGTTATCTATGATTAGGCCTACTACATTTTTCATTCATAATTTCACCGGGAGGGAGGGGGAGTGGTGCTGAGGAACAGCAGAGTGCGGGCTGACAGGTGTCTGTGTTGACATTCCCCTTAAGTGTTTTAGGTTCAAGTTAGACAACTAATGTCTGGGTTAGTGTTCATGACTTCATGTGTATGTCATCTTAATGGTTAATCTCAATACACACACATTTCCCGTGCTTTCCAATAGTTTAAAATAGTTTTATTCCACTGTTTAATAACCTGTTCAATACAAACATGCCACATTTCTGTGAACTGATATTTGTTTAGTGAGCTTATTAGAGGATGTTCCCATTCTTTGGGGATGTTCCCTTTGATTGTAAAATGTCAATGAAGATGTCAGACTTCGTATATTTGTTAATAATTACAACACATGGAATTTGTGTGTGTGTGTGTTCCAAGTGAATCTGTGGCCCCCTGGTGGCCAGTACATCAATGATGTGGCCCCCGCCACCATCAAAGTTGCCCATCCCTGATCTAGAGACACCTGATGGCTGGTAATGCTTTGGTGCTCCTTATCTATGTTCTATGCAATTTACCAGCCATCAGGTGTCTCTAGATCAGGGATGGGCAACTTTGATGGTGGCGGGGGCCACATCATNCCTGTAATGTAGGCTAAACACACACACACACACACACACACACACACACACACACACACACTGAGCTGCTGCATTTGACCTTGTGACCTCTGCTCAGCTCTATCCTCTGATCCGTTTAAAACCTTTTTTCTACAGTTTTTAGTATGATGATGTGAAGGAAATGTCTCTGCAGTATCGACACTGGACTGTGGTCTTTGAAACCATCTCGAATTGGTTTGATTACAATATAGACAAACGTATTTTATATAAAACAGACTAGTGCTTATTTTGCCAGGACAATTGAAACCCCATGAAAGGGTTTTTTTATGGGTACGTAGCAAATTTAGTTCATCAGGATTCATAATTTGATATATTGAGAAATATATAGAGAATTATTTAGATAAAACGAAAGTATTAAATGAGCATTAACCTTGAAGTGCCTATAATCCTGTTTAACTACAGCCAGTCTTTGTTTGCTCAAATGTTTTATCGTTAATTGATGATAAGACAAACTCAGGACCTCATCTCAAATGTGCTTAATTTATTTTCTTGGGTTATAAAGTGTTTTAATTCAAGTTAAAATGTTGAAATACATTTTATTGCGTGCTTTTTGTGACATTGCTTTTAATTTTTTAGAAGTGGAATGTTAACCAGAGAATGTGTTAAAAATGTGTATTCGTCTGCATTTCGTTGACAACAAATAGTTCAGTGTGTTTCAAGCTGAAAATAAAAGGTCTACGTGCAACAGCCTTGTTTTGCATTCATATGGAAAGAATCCATCTAAACCTACATCATGTTTGAACAAAGGTTAGTCATTGATTTGTCGTGGATGAGCTTAAACGTGTAAATCAGAAATATAAGATAGACATGTGGTTAATTAATTATTTTGAAAGGATTGATTTTTACAAGATGGGGGACCCAGAAGAGACACATTTGAAAGGATTATTGTCCAAATATAACCAGCAGGGGCCAAGATATGCTGAATCATATGGGTTACACCAGCGCCATATAGATAGAAGAGTTACGACAACGGAAAACGGTTATCGTCACGTGGTTCATGTAGACGAGGATCGTTCCCCGGAAGTTCATGGCGGTCAATGTGAATGCATTGATAACAGGAGATAGAACTACGATTTTTGGTAATTATTAGTGAATAAAGGTTTTGATTTGCAATATTTATACAACAAATCGATATGTGTATTTATTTACATCAATATGTTTTAAAAAATAAAATAGAATTTGCTAATATTAAAGGTGGGGTAGGTAAGTTTCAGAAACCGGCTCGAGTGCACTAAAATTTGAAAGTACGCAGCCAAAAAGAATCCGCCCCTTCCTTCAGACTTCCTTACAGAGCACCTCCTCCGCGAGAGCAGGCTGCAGTAACGTTACATATCAGGCAAAGCTAAACACAGGTTAGCAATACTACACAGCCAAAGCAACTCCGATATTGACTCTGGTTTGACTTCTCCTAGTTTCCACTTTCTTTTTGTTCTTCATTTGCTCCGTTACATTTTTTCTTTTGCGACCAGTAGACGATGTTGAACCTAACTCTGCCATGGTGAAAGTGGCCGCCTGTTGCGAGTCATTGAAGTACTGCTGCAATGCACGCCCAATGACGGCACGAGATACATTTGTGCGTGCACGAGATGGAAGGCTGACAGACAGGGCGGCAATCCAATCCGTTTAAGTTTTTACAGTATTACGGGTTCCACAGATGACATTTTTTTATGGATTTTTTGTCAAAGTCTCTTCAGATATTCATTGCTATCGGGATGTTAAGAGCATTCCATGGAATATAACAAAAAGTGTAATCTCGAGCCGGTTTTCTCAAAACTTACCTACCCCCACTTTTAAGTGATAACTATTAGGATTTAGTGTGAACACTAGTTTACATGTTAGGCTAACAGTGCCTTGGTTAAAGAGCCTGTTGCTGTTTATTTATAGCTT